GGGCTGGAAGGGGGCGGGGTCAGAGGGGGCGTGTCCTGTCCCAGCTGCCACCTCTGGCACTCCCAAATCTTCTTTTTTTCCCCCTAAACCCCAAAATTTCCCTTTGCAGCCTCCTGGTTTTGGGGCCAAATCTCCCGTTTTTGGGGAGGAAAATCTAATTTCTGTCAAATCCCGACCTTCAACCCAAATCCTCGTTTTTTGGTTCCCAAATCCTTTTTTTTACTTAAAAAAGGATCATTTTTAGTGTCAAAATATTTCCTTTTAACGATCTAAATCTTCATTTTTAAGCTCTAATCCCTCATTTTACGCCCAAAAGCATAATTTTAAAAAAAATTAAAGCCCCGTTTTGGAGCTAAATCCCCAATTCCTGCATCCCAAACATCTCTAAAGGTCCAAGTTTCATTTTTACATTTAAAATATTCTTTTTCTGGTTCAAATTCTCAATTTTTAAAAGGTAAACCCTGTGTTTTTAGCGTTGAAAATCTCATATTGTTCTCCAGACCCACATTTCTAGGCCTGAAAACATTTATTTATTTTTATTAATTTATGGTCCTGAACTTCATTTCCCCTTATTTTGGAGGCCAAAATTCACTTTTTAGGAGCAAACCTCCAGTTTTAGGGTTTAAATCCCTCTTTTGGGCACAAAAAAATCTGATTTTTCGGCTCCCAAACATCATTTTTTTGGTCAATATACTCATTTCAGGGTCTAAAACCTCACTATTTGGGTCCAAATTCCCAAGTTTAGGGTCCAATCCCACTCTTGAAGTTAACACAACACATTTTTCTGCCCTATTTTAAGGATAAATAGCTCAGTTTTTGCCCAAAAGCTTATTTTTGAGGTGCAAATCTTCATTCAAATGGCAATTTAAATGTAGAAAACCTCTTTTTTAGAGGTTATTCACTCGTTTTTGGGACCAGTGCAAATCTTCATTCAAATGGCAATTTAAATGTAGAAAACCTCTTTTTTAGAGGTTATTCACTCGTTTTTGGGACCAAATAACTCTTTTTTGGGGCCCGCCCCCTTTTTGGGTGGAGACAATGATTACTTTTAAGGCCAAACTCCTTCTTTGTGGAGCAAAAATCTCATTTTTGGGTGTCTAAATCCCATTTATAGGCCACAAATTTTGCATTTAGGAGCACATCCCTCAGTTTTAGTTCTAAAATCTTCAACTTTGGGTCCAAATTCTGCTTTTTTGGAGCCCTCGGCCGTCTCCAAAGCCGTTTTTTGGGTCATTTTAATCCTTTTTTGGGTCCAAATTCCCCTTTCCAAGGCC